AACAGTTGCAGGTTAAGTTATTGAATTAATATACCAGATCAACAAATGAATAATAATTGATCGTTAAATAACAATATTAACATACAATTAAGCAAGACGCAAACAGCAGAAAGCATAATGTGCATGTAAGAAAGCAACATGTAAAAGTCAAAGTGCAAGATGTACAAGTCAGAATGCAAGATGTACAAGTCAGAATGCAAGATGTTCAAGTAAGAAAGCACGATGTAACGTAAGAAAGCAAGATGTAATTTTTGCGTTAATACCCTTCCGTACTTAAAGGACAATGTCATTTATGCTGTCAAGGTCAAGTTTCAAATGTTCACAGTCTATATAAAGCTTTACAAGCTGTTATTCAAATTAATATAAATTATTTAAGTTCATTATTTACATTAAAATCATCATATAGTACCTGGTTATTAATAACAGAATTAATTTTTGAGCTAATTTGGCTTTTATGTGATTTACTTAATGGATATTCACATTACAATATTTCAGCAGCATATGAAGAAATTTTTGAGTGTTCAATTATTACTCTGCAAATGATTATAGCTTGTAGAAGATGTCAAGTATTGCACCCTTGAATTCCAAAAACTTATTTCAACATTTTTGTTACAGCCATAAAGAATTTTAGTAAAAATCAATTTAACTAATTAATTTTAGAAGAGACATGCGTATTATTGTTGATAAAAAAAGCAACTGATTGATTGACAACCAATGAATTAAAAGAGAAAAACTAAAATGTTTTCAGGGCTGTCCCTGACCCAACATAAATTGCTGGTATGCGTTCAGACGGAGCTGTCATTGAATAAATCTTTGATTGAGATCAGTGTTTATGATTCTGGAATTCGAAAAACAGGGGGCATTTTTATCGAAAAGTGAGAATTTATTACATTTGTTGATCTTTTTCCTTCTTTCTCTATTCAAAATTTCCCCCTGTCTCTGAAAAATAGGCAGGATCGAATTTCCAAAAATATGAGTGAATGATCCCCCATCCTCCCACTGTAAGATAAGTAAGTTAACAAAATATTTATTCTACTGATGTTTTAAAGTCACAACTGAAAGATATTTTCTGATTTAAACCATTTAAATTGATTCAAACTAGCAAAATGTTACAGAATAATTTTCCATGCATAATGACAGTTAAAATAAGGCTAAACAGTTTGACAGAAGGAAAAACAATTACTTAAATCAGTGATTTTTTTCCCCAATTTTCAAAACAGCCTTTGGTTTTTTGAAGGGGAAAATAATTAGGGCGATAAATCAGAAAAGGGGGGAAACCTTAAAAATCAAATTCCAACAACTGAAAATGGAATTTACCCACACATTTTATGAAAAAAAATTAATTTCAATTCAATTTAACATGCATGGTACATTATGCAAAGACTATCTATAGGGACAAATTTCTGTCTTCTAGCTGATATAAGTGTGATGCTGTTAAGTCATGGTTCTGGTAAGGAAGAGCACAAGACATTTTAGGGGAAATTTTTTTAGCATTTTGAGGGGAAAAATATACCTATTTTGGGCTAGGGGAAACAGCCTTTATTCGGCTATAAAATACAGTGAAAAAAAATCACTGTAAATGATCCAAACCATTCATGTTTAATTAATTAGGCTACATCATGACTTTTCAAATTACAGACACCGATATTTCATTAAAATTATCAATATTCATCCTAAATTTAAGTGCAATTGGAACCATGTACTTTTAATTCCTTTAGAGGTAGATAAGTATAGGCAAACCATCAGAGTCCACAACAGTCTACGTTGTTAGGTTTAATACTTAATATAACAGGGTGGGGCAGAGGGGTTTAATTTTTCAACACTCTTTTAGAGACCTGCATTGATTTCTTATACGCGGAAAGCCACAGGCCCCGCAAGGGTAGTAGCACTCTTAGATAATATGTTTGACTTGAATAAATCAAATTGAAATCCCATTAAATTCAATAAAAAATATAAATCTAATGAGTTGGAGAAAAATCCTTAGTTAACTGGGCACCCCCATTTTGAAATCCTTTAGAGCTTAATATCTAAAGATATCACTATAATCAGGGCGCTTTGAGCGTCTACATAATTCAGAATATTGCTAGAAGACGCCTGCCAAAAACTGACTTCCAGTGAAAGATTGATGTACAAAATTAGAAAATAAACATATATTTCATTGATAAGAACTATTGTAACGATGATTAATATAAAAGGTTACTTTTACATATCCTTTTTGATAAATCAACACAATTAAAAAAATAACATTATACCAAAATGGCAGAAGGGATTACAGTGGTCCCCCTTTGCTTCGGTACACAGAGCGTAGCCAATCAAATCACTGTACGGCATTCAGTGATTTACAGAAATATTCAGAGCACTCCAATGATAGGTTGAACACCACCAATTTATTTGTTTCTATTTACGGTACAACATACCTGCATTTACTCATTTACGAAGTGCTAGAAAAATCTGGTTTACATGAATACTAAACATGTTATGCTTGAATCATAAATCATGACATTTATAAGAGCTTTCCGTGCCAAAGGTAGCACCTAGCTAATTTCATATTTCATTATAACAGCCATGCTAATCCTTACTTCACCACATTTGAAAATCATGTTGGGAAATGAATGGAATTCTAATAAGATAGAATGAATGTTACTGACTGAGACACAGCAAGTAACTCAACAACGGCCCTCAACTCCTCAATACTAGTTCTGGCTTCCAAAACTTTATAAGCCGCTTTTTAATAATTTTGTTTTTCATCTGATGCGGCATTAAAGGGTTACGAAACCTAACCAGAATAACATAAGTAGATTTAACCTTATTTTTCACTTGCAAATACCCTTGTCCCTGAATCAATTCTTGCGCATTTTGCGATATAACAATTATTTTAATATCGTTCTATAGATACCATTTAAAGTATCAAAATATTAATACCGTCATTAAAATTGCCTATTATACTTAACTGTAAAACATCAATTATGCCGAGTACAGTCGTCCATGACATTTAGGTGCCACGCAAGACCTCGTATGACGTCATTGGCGGGAACCGATTAGAGTAGTGTCGTGTACTATTATTTAGAACATCTTTATTGACATGATTTCAATATTTAAATTTCAAGATAATGTTTTTATTTATTTTCATTAATTTTTTAGTACTTAAATATGATTATAATTTGAATACTAAAGTCAGTAAATCACTATTTTCAATATCTTTAAAAAAAGTAATTTATAAAAATGTTAGAAGCGGTTCGTAAAGGTTAATCTCGTAATCACGTGATCAAATATTTTGGGAATTAAATATGACGGCCAAGTGCTGAATTTTTTACCTATCGGAAACTATTAGGTAGTTTATATTCGTACTAAGATTTATATTTGTCCATCCTTGGCTTATCAACAGATTATATATAGTTTTATCAAGGTATGCTTCACTTTACTTCATGGCATGTTCAACTTCATGGCATGTTCGATGAATGAATAAGAGCGTGTCAGATTCCTTGCACGATTATTGGTGGACTTTCCCTACGGGTCTGTCTTCAGCCTTCACGTCATGTCATAGTATATACAAGAGCTGTCCGTAAGACAGCGCGCTCGACTTTTTTATTGCTTGCCAATAAAAAAAGTTTTTGCAGTAAAAGGCAATACAAGAATCTCTGTATTTTTAAAGTGAACAAGTATTCCAACTTTCAAATTAATATCTCAAACAGTTCAGTCAAAAAGTGGACTGGTACTAAAAACTTAACCAAGATTCTAAGTCGATAAAAGGCCTTAATTTTTAAAACAAATCCTTGACAGAGTTACCTTCTCTTGCGTACAGATGGGGGTAATGATGTGAAATAGCATTAAAAGTTTCAAAGCAATATCTCAAAGGGTTAAGGCAATAAGTGGATTTTACCCATATTCAATGTATTTTCTAAGTCAAAAAGGGGCATAATTCTGTCAAAAACCTTGACAGAGTTATGTCCTCTTGTCTGTTGATGAAGGTCGTGATGGTAAACAAGTATGGTCAGTTTCAAAGCAATACCTCCAATGGTTTTGAAATAAAGTGAGGTGGTACAAAAAACTTAACCAAGCTCAATACACTTTCTAAGTCAAAAAAGGGCCATAATTCTGTCAAAAACCTTGACAGAGTTATGTACTCTTGTCTGTAGATGGAGGTTATGATGGTGAACAAGTATGGTAAGTTTCAAAGCCATACTTGTAATACTTCTGAAATAAAGTGGGGTGGTACGAAAAACTTAACCAAGGTGTGACGCCGACGCCGACGCCGGGGCGAGTAGGATAGCTCCCCTTTTCATAGAAAAGTCGAGCTAAAAAGGGTACGCTGAAGACCTTAAGCTACATCAATACCTGTGCATATTTTGAAGTTTAACAGTTTAAGAAAATAACTAGTCTTTTCTTCGTTATTAATACGGGGAAGTCAAAGACCGGGCCCGCGAAGCGGGTCCGGGCTTTGGCTTGCCCGGCTATAGACTTCACGTGTATATTTAAAAGAAAATCAAATAAAAAACAATTAAAAAATATATAGAATTCTATACCTATCAATGAAATTTTCAGTGTCAGTTCTAGTCGGGCGCCGCCATTTACAATGTAACTCAATGATAATAGGCGGGGTATTCCGATAACGGAACAAATCTCAACTTTTCGGATAAATAATAAACGTTGAGTGTTCCGAGTGAAAACGGAAGCGGTGCATGTAATACCGAATGACACCTTTAAAACGGAAAGAATAAAAGGAATTTCTTAACGACTTCCCCGTTCATAGGCTTTGCCTAATTTCATATTATTGCTGCGTGCTATAGCATCGTATCACTTTTACATATAAGGAACAAAGGTTTACTGTAGCCAATCAACTGAAATTAGCGACTGAAACCAAACATTTCAACAAGTCAACTAAGTCATGACATGAAATGGTGAACATGTCCTGTACTGAAATCATGAAATGCCAAAAGAAATTTTAATTTTGGCAATTTTTGCAAACAACCTTCCAACATTTTGACAAGAACTTACCTTACGTCAAAAATCGGTAAATATCCTACGTTCATACAATCTTAGAATTTTTCTTATACAGATTTAACCTAAATTGTAAAAGTAAGTGTCCTAACAGCTCGACGTTGATCCGCCATGTTGTTTAAAGATGGCGTTGACCGGATAACACTGTTTATTTACAATTTTTGTTTAAATTTAATCAAGAAAATTCTGTAAATCATTTGGGATTCCGTCAAAATAAATTCATTTTAAACAAAAATATCAAAGGCACTGGATGTCATATCATATTAAAAAATTGTGCAAATAATATATTATGCACTATTTCTATTGTCGTATGAATACTATATTCGCTTGTTGACAGGAAGAGCATTTTTGTGATATTTGATTGGACAATGCGTTGCTGCGGATATAAGGGAGATTAATCTTACACTCGCACCTGCTACTTTCACTTTTGGTTTGTTGTCATTGTCAGGGTCAGGTAAAGTGAACATTAGATCTATTTAATTGATATATCGTGCATTACAAGTTTGATTAATAATATGAAATTAGGTTCAGAAATCTGTTATGTTATGATCTGATACACAGATTTGTTTTACCATCTTAGTGAGTAAAAAAATTGTTTACTTATTTGCACCAATTTTCACCACAGGTGTTCGGTGCGTGATTGGTCACTACCCGCCCAGCTCCCCTTCATCCACTCTACAAGCCTCCTACCTCTCAAAACCACGTAAACTGCAAAATTTTTCATTTGCACTCCAATACTCCAAGACTTTCCCACCAATTTTCATAATCTTGGTACCAAATGGTAGGGAAATGATTACTCATCATCATCATCATCTCAAGTGATTGCATCACTCCGCAAGGAGTATACTCGCAATAGGGTAAAAACTGTATATACATACGCAGTAGGCAGGACTGACTGTTTTCCAAAATAAAAATAAAAAGTTTCCCTATTTACAGTATCTATTAAAAGAGTAAAAACAACTCCGTGATTAGTAATTTATATGTTGGCTGGCCAGAGCTGATTGGAAAGCATCCAGGCTGGTCTGGTCAACAACGTCTTGCGGCAGCTTGTTCCAAAGCACGATGGTTGCAGGAAAGAAGCTGTTTTGGAAGATGGAGGTGCGTGCTCTGATTTGGCGGAGGCGTTGGTTGTGCCCTCTGACAGTCTTAGCATTGATAAGTGGAGGATCTGGTATAATATCCACAAGGTTGTGCATTATTTTGAAGAACATAGTTGTTCTGGTGTTGTTGCGCCGGTGTTGGAGGGTGTCCCATTTGAGGTCGGTAAGCATGTCGGTGACGCTGCTTGTTCGTGTGTAGTCTTGTTTCACGAATCTTGCAGCGCGACGTTGGACCATTTCTAGTTGGTTGATAAGACCCTCAGAGTGAGGGGACCAGACAGATGAGGCGTATTCAACAGTAGGTCTGATATATGTCTTGAAGGCATTAGACTTTGCGCTTGGAGGGCTAGATCGTATGTTTCGCCTGATGAATGACATGGTGGAGTTAGCCTTTTTGGTGATGTTATCGATATGTTTTTTCCATGAGAGGTCTGAAGAGATGGTGACTCCAAGATATTTGGCATGATCTGCAGTGTTGAGTTCTTTTCCGTGGATGCTATAGGTGTTAGTAATAGGCTTTCTTTTTGTGGAGATGTGGATGACTTCACATTTGTCGGGATTAAAGGCCATCTGCCAATCATCCTCCCAGGATTGGAGACTATCAAGGTCATGTTGGAGTTGGCGAGAGTCCTCAGGGCTACGGATGATTCTGTACAGGAGGCAATCATCGGCGAAGAGTCGAGCCGTGGATTGGACCTTCGATGGTAAATCATTGATGTAGGCCAGGAAAAGAAGAGGGCCAAGGACGCTGCCCTGAGGGACACCAGAGGTGACAGGTGAGGTACCTGAAAAGGAGCCCTCAAGGACAACCTGTTGTGTGCGCGACGAGAGAAAGTCTTCAATCCAGGAGTGGGTTGTGCCTCTTATACCATAATGGTCCAGTTTCTGAAGGAGACGTGAGTGTGGAACTTTATCAAATGCTTTTGAGAAGTCAAGTAGAACAGCGTCAATTTGATGGTTGTTATCTATTCCTTTGGCTAAGTCATTAATGGTCATTAGTAGTTGAGTGTCACAGGAGCGTTTTTTTCTGAACCCATGTTGGTAGTCAGAGAGGATGTTGTGTGAGTCAAAGTGAGACATGATGTTGCTGAAGATGATGTATTCCAGTACTTTGCAGGAGACTGATGTTAGAGAGATAGGTCTGTAGTTGGATGGTGATGAGCGATTTCCTTTTTTGAAGACAGGTGAGACGAGGGCGGTTTTCCAGTCGAGTGGGATCTGACCTTGATCCAGAGACAGTTGGAATAGCTTTGCTAGGCCTAGAGACAACTCTTCTGATGCAAGTTTGAGGAGCCTAGTGGGTATCTTGTCTGGGCCTGGAGCTTTGTGTGGCTTAAGATTCGACAGAAGCTTCTGGACGCCCTTAATCGTGACATGTATAGGTTTTAGAGTTGGTAAGCAACTTGGAGGAAGAGTAGGGCGTTGAGCCATGTCCTCTTTGGTAAAGACAGAGGTGAACTGGTTGTTTAGAAGTTCAGCTTTCTGTTTACCATCGCTGTATGCCAACCCGTCCTTCTTGAGTGGAGACACACCAAAGTTGTCTTTCTTCTTGGATTTGATGTAGTTCCAGAAGACTTTTGGGTTTTGATGGTCTGGCTGGAGCATGTCTGATATGTGGGCATCGTGGACAGATCTGCATAGGCGTTGGGCTTTCCTTTTGATATCTTTATATTTTGACCAATCAGAAGTGGAGTTTGAGTTCTTGGCACGCCGGAACCACTTTCGTTTCAGTCTGGTTATTCGCTTTATATCGCGGTTGATCCATGGCTGATTGAATCTTTGAGCACTTTGGCGATGTGGGACTTCATCTTCAATGATCTTTTGGCAGCCATTTTTGAAAATAGTCCAGATGTAATTAATGTCTGAAGAGGGGTTGATTTTCTTTAGTAAGGTGTCTGATAAGGCTTTGCTTTTTTCTTTTATGGTATTGATGTTGGCCTTCCCCCACATGTACAGGGTGCGCTTTGTTGGTTTAATACGTGTGGCACACATGTTGGTGTCAACAAATATGGCGTGGTGGTCGCTTATCCCTGGGGTTGCTGTACAGCGGTTGACAAGTTGTGGCCGATTGGTGAGGAAGATGTCAAGTATATTGTCGCCTCTTGTAGGGAAGTCAACAATTTGTGTGAGGCCTAGTTCAGGTTCTAGGAGAAGAAATTGTTCATTTATTGCTTTCCTGTATTGGTGTCCATTGATTGCGTTGTTTGACCAATTAATATCTGGTAGATTGAAGTCACCTGCAATCCAGATAGTAGCATTTTTAAATTTGTTGCAGATGTGTGAGATGGCATTGAATAGATGTCTTGAATATTCTTCATCATTATTAGTTGGTCTGTAAGCTGAGCCAATGATGAGGGTCTCTTTATTGATGCATTCAATTTTCTGGAATAGGATGTCACATGGAGTGTTGACTTCGACTGGTTCGCTGACAATGTTGTCCTTAACAAGAATGAGGCTCCCTCCCATAGCCATCAGGTCTATCCTTACGGTGAATGGTGTAGTTGCTGTTAGTTGGAAGAACTTCAGCATCATAGATTGTTGGGTTTAGCCACGTTTCACAGCCACATATGATGTCGCAGCTGACAGATTCAAGGAAGTTCCAGAAGCTTGCTTTCTTTTTGGAGCTGCAGACACTCTGAATATTAATGCTGGCTAGTCGGATGTTGTTTGTGCGTAGTTTGTGCTTGAAATTCTTTTTAGGACTAGAGCATGACGGTGGGAAGTTTTCCATACTAGAAGTGCTGTGAGTTGATCTGGAAATATTGGATATGTCTGATATATTGACACTGGATACGCTCTCTAGTTCTGAGATGTCGCTGCTGATAACAGAATGTAGGCTGTTGCTATGGTTTGGTTGATCTGTGTCAGTCTGGTGGACATAGACCGAGTCGAATAGGCTTGAAGAGAAGTTGGGGATACCACAAGAGAAGCATGTAAAGCTCATACTCTTAAAGGTTTTAAAGCTGTCATTACAATCATTTCAAGTTAAAAGAAGATCTGTAATCTCGAAGTCATCGCAAGTGTTAAGTTGGCAGAGAACTGACCGCTGGGGGGTTTTTTGTGTGAAAAGTACCCGACTAAACGGCAATTTATTCGAAATGTATGAATATTTTTTTGTATTGTGCATATAAATATGATAGAATTATATTATTATTTGTAATAAAGTTCTGTTCAATCAAAACATCATATGAAACTATAACGAATCGTTTTTCCGATATGTTATTGTCATGTTTTACAACAGTTCATATCCGACTTTGAGAGACTTCAAAACCCTTGAATTCAATATTTTTCGTCAATGTAGATGTGACTTTTGTCCTACTTTTCAGAGTATAAGTTTGAAAGATGCCTATGCTTCGACAATTGTTCGGTGGTTTCACTACTGGATCAGTTGCTACAAGTTGTCAGGTATGCAGCTTCAGTCGATATATTCCGGCTAGTATAAGTGACTTATTCTGGAAAACGTCAACTACATGTACAAACCATTGCCTAATTTCTCAGAATTGTTCTCACTTTTCAATGGAACATGGGATAAGGAATCGTTTTAGAAACGTAAATAACTTACATAACAGACAGCTTATTTCGAGGAAAAAAGTACCAAAGACTGTGTGTGGATTTCGAGAATTGTCTACTGAGAATAAATTGCCAATCATTTACTTATTTACAAAAGAAGGATGTACCCTGTGTGACATTGCCGTAGAGGCATTGAAACCTCACATGCATAGGGTAAGAACAACATGCTACCATCATTTTTTTCTTGTTTAAATTTGAATCGTATTCAATCATTATAATTTTTCATTATAATAATTTCCAAATTTAATTATGAATTAAAGAGTTAACATATTTATTTTATTTTATTGTGAAAAAGTTCTGAACCTTTGGCATTATCTTACTCAGTTCCGATCATGCTTCCACGAACTATAATGCAAAACATTTGTTTGCTATTGAGATACTCATAAATGTTAAAATGGCTATGTAGGCTTTGTTGTTGTTCCTTTTTAGCAAATGATATATTTTTGCATTTTCTTTATTTCTTAAACATCTGTAAGTAACCGTTTGGTTATTAACTGTTAATTAATCTGAATTTAATATGGTGAATCATTATGATAGTGATAAAGTCTATTTTGACCATAAACGGGACATCAGTGAGTAAAATATCAGCCTCCTGAAAGGGCAAAAGGAGTTGGACATTTTTAATGAGAGGTGTACAGTTCAACTGCAAACGAATATTACATTTAGACTAAATGTCACAATTACTGGAAACTTTGTCAGTGCTTTTTTAATTAGCTCGCTTATTAGCATCCTTTTACTGTAAGTGTGTAATACGTTATTGTAAAACAGGTAGCTAAAAACAGGAGTTTTAATATATAGTTTAATTGTCATATCTAATCACGGATTTATATTACAATAAATCCGTGATCTAATCAAAGCAATCATGCTAACACCTGTAAAAGTATGTACACTGCTAAATGTATTGGTACTATTGTTTTATATAATTTCAGTTTGTCCTAAAGGAAGTAGACATTGAATTACCAGAGAACGAGAAATGGTACGAGATGTACAAGTATGATATTCCGGTGTTTCACATTTATGAAGAATTTCTGTTTAAACATCATGTAGATTTTGATGCACTTGAGCGAGGGTTAGAAAAATATAAAAATGGATATGACATAAGAAAGTGACAGCCATCCATTCCAGTAATAATATATGATAGAAATAAAAACGACACTGTTATAGGGGTAAATACTACACCTTTGCGATACTACTTGCCGGTGCTCAAGTTACCAACAACTGACATCACTTTGGTCGTGTGATTGAGACAGGGTTACACAGTTTGTTGCTTAATAATTTTATATTTTCCAACTATAATTAACTATAGTAGATCTGTTCGAAGGTGGTTCACGCAACATCTGGATTGTACTATAGATACATTGCTTATCACAAACTAAAAATTGCCTGTTTTACCGGAGCGGTGATTTCGGTTTACACTCCGTTCTTTCCGTCCGTTCAAAGAAATCTGTAACCAACAATAGCTCAAAATAATATCAGCTATTTGGATGATACTTATGGTGTGAGGATAGAGGAGATTATGCACGAAATTTTATAAAATTACATTGTGATTGCTCTGGTAACGGAAATGGTGGTAAAACAATGAAAACTGAACACATTTATAACCTAGCTGCTATACCTAAAAACACAAGTCAGGTTGATGATATTTAGTATATTGATATATAACTATATGGAGATGTAAGTCATTTTATTATTATACCCCCACCACAAAATGTGTGTGTGTGTGAGGGGGGGGGGGGGCTATAATGGATTCGCTTTGCCGCGTTCTACCGTCCGTCTGTCCGTCCGTCCGTCTCCATTATCGTGTCCGCTCTATAAATCCTATACCAATTGAAGGATTTACTTCAAACTTGGCTCAAATGTTCACCTCAACAAGGGGATGTGCAGAACTCATGTTGCCCATGTGTCAGCTCAAGGTCAAGGTCACAATTAAAGGTCAAATATCAAAAAATCAAATATTACACAGTATGTCGAGTCCGCTCTGTAAATCCTACACTAATTGAAAGATTTTCTTCAAGCTTGGCTCAAATGTTCACCTCAACAAGGAGATGTGCAGAACCCATGTTGCCCATGTGTCAGCTCAAGGTCACAATTGAAGGTCAAATATCAAACAGTCAAATATTAGACAGTATGTCGTGTCCGCTCTGTAAGTCCTACACTAATTGATTAATTTTCTTCAAACATGGCTCAAATGTTCACCTCAACAAGGAGATGTGCAGAACCCATGTTGCCCATGTGTCAGCTCAAGGTCAAGGTCACAATTGAAGGTCAAATATCAAACAATCAAATATTAGACAGTATGTTGTGTCCGCTCTGTAAGTCCTACACTAATTGAAAGATTTTCTTCAAACTTAGCTGAAATGTTCACCTCAACAAGGAGATGTGCAGAACCATGTTGCCTATGTGTCAGCTCAAGGTCACAATTGAAGGTCAAATATCAAACAAATATTTTCTTCAGTATTGGCTCAAATGTCCACCTCAACAAAGTAATGTGCAGAACCCATGTTACTCTTTTGCCGGTTTAAGGTCAAGGTCACACTTGAAGGTCAAAAATTGACTTAGAAAATATTCTTAAATTTTAACATGTATTTGAATATTTCTGAAACTAGAAAAGGTACTTGCTTGAAACTTAAAATATATAATTATGAAGTGTCACAATTAAGATATGCAGGTCAAGTTTCATAACTCTGTATTGCATTTGACAAAGTTATGCCCCTTTTTAAGTCTTCAAATTTACATACAATCAAATATTAGAAAATATGTCGTGTCCGCTATATAAATCCTAAACTAATGGAAGAATTTTCTTCAAACTTTACTAAAATGTTCACCTCAACAAGGTTATGTGCAGAACCCATGTTAGCTTTATGTCCGCTTTAGGTCAAGGTCACACTTGAAGGTCAAAAATTGACTTAGAAAATGTTCTTAAATTTTAACATGTATTTGAATATTTCTGAAACTAACACAGGTATTTGCTTGAAACTTAAAAGATATATGAGGTGTCACAAGTAAGATATGCTGGTAGAGTTTCATAACTCTTGTGTTGCATTTTGACAAAGTTATGCCCCTTTTTAAGTCTTTAAATTTGCATACAATCAATACTAGACAATATGTCATGTCCGCTCTATAAATTATATACTAATGGAAGGATTTTCTTCAAATTTGACTCAAATGTTCACTCCAACTGGGCAATGTGCAGAACTCATCTTACCCTTGTGCCAACGTAAGGTCAAGGCCACACTTGCAGGTAAAAAATTGACTTAGAAAATGTTCTAAAATTCTAACATGTACTTGAATATTTCTAAAACTAGAACAGAGATAATCATTTGAAACTTCAAATATATACGAAGTGTCGCAAGTAAGATATTCAGGTCAAGTTTCATAACTAAAAAAAGTGTGTGGGGGATAACTTTGTATTGTATTTTGACAAAGTTAAGTCCATTTTTATGTCTTTAAATTTATTTACTATAATATTTCTTAAACCAGAACAGATATTTACTTGAAACTTAAGATGTATATGAATGGTTTTAAGCAAGCTCAGATGATGAAAATTCTACAATTCCATTGAATTATGACACAAGTTATGCCCCTTTTACGCTTAGAAAATATTAATTAACAAATATTTACTTGAAACTATATAATATATGAAGGGTCACAAGTAAGTTCAGTATGCAAAGTTTTTCCACTCTTAATTACATTTTGACATAATTATCCTATTTTCTTAACTTCACTGCTTTTGTTTGTTTTAGTACTCTGGGAAAATGAAAGGTTATTTGTAACTGTTTCGAACATTATTTGACAATATATATTTATATTATAACCTGTACAAATTGTCTTTTTTCACCAGAGATAATTTCTTTGTATGTATGAATTTGTGCCACTTAACCACCTTTCCAAGTCGTCATCTGTCAAGGACATTGGTGTGGTATGAATCGCATTCAGCGATAGTTCTAGTTTTTATCGGAGAAAAATATGGTTTCTATATGGTTACGGAAACGGCAAAATCATTATCGTAAATGAGGTCCTGTAAGTTGACGACGGATAGTATACACGACATCTTATTTATTTGTTTGATAAAAAATGACCAAAGAAATGGTAAATAAGACTTGCGGGATCCTGTGATAACCCTAAAAGTGTTTATGCTATGTTGACAAAACTTGGTATGTGGATAGAGGACAATGTTGATATTATGAATATCAGTTTCCTTTTTCATATTTTACAAAGAGCGCTATGATAACGAAAGTAGTGAAACAGTTAAAAAGGATCATATATTGGACATCAGGTGGACTAAATAAACTTCTACTTATATTTATGAAACTTTGTACATATGTGTGGATAGGAGGCTTATTGAGGGGTTACATCTTGTTTTAATTTTACAAGAAAATTTGGTCAATACTGTTTATAATTGAAACAATAATTGCATACATAACTGAGATTTTGTGATAACTAAAAAAGTCAACAGTTGCACCTTTTTTCAACATAATGTCTATTTCCTTAAAATTGCACAGCTATGAATACTTTCAAGGGAACATATGTTGATAAAAAAATCTAGGATAAATTCTTTAAAGTCAGTTTCCTAATTAAAATAGGGTGGCATCGCATGTTTACAGGTGATGCTACATATGCAAAATAGCATGAGTTCTTGAAACGAGGTAACAGCAGAGTGTACAAGAAATAATGTTTTTTTGAAAATGATTTTATACACATGCGTACCACAGATATACATACAATATATGAGCTCCAAGTGGTACTAACAATAAAGCAATACTGTGAGCAAATGAATATTTAGTTTACATAATGGCATGCGTCTTAAAAATTCTAACTCCCTATCAAACAGGTAGGACAATCGAGTGTATTATTACATGATACATGTATATGCAAGGCTTTATAAACGAATGCTCATAGAACATTTGACGTGAATTGACCAACTGACGTTCGGAAAAATTTCATCCATGCTCAATGTTGTTCAAAATATTTTTATCACCTTTCTTTCTTATAACCATGTTAGAATAATTAGATTCCTCAAAAATAATATTTTTGACGATTATAGCAGGGTATGTGTATATATATTTATAAGTCTCTGGTTGTTACAAATAATTGGTATTTGCAAGTCGAACTCTGTCGATGATCTCAAAAATGAAAAGTTATTTGAACCAATAAATTGATTAGTTATTCAAACAAACAATTTAGATAATCATAGTTGGCTCAAACTGGTCTGAACCAAATCTTATCAGCCATTTGAAACCCAAACGTATTAGCTATTTCCTGCTGGCTCTAAATGTATCACAATTAAAAAAAAACATTTTACGTTATATAATACTAGTTACATGTATATCAGTTTTTCATGATTAGCTAAAGCTTGCCCAAAAGACTTGTAAATGTAGACTCATCATATTTTGACAATGTTCTAAGTTTGAACAATTCTCTTGGCAATTTAGAGTTCCATTGGCCATTTATCATGTCGGCAGCCAATCGACCAATCTCATCACTTGATTTCGCTGCATAACCGTTCCCGCCGATAGCCACGCCCAGCTGGTCGTGCAACATGTCTATATATGGGCGTTCGGTGGGCGTTTCTGTTATGACGCAACTGTCGCTGTGCCAAGAATTGAATTGTACCCCTGAAAGTGTGAACAAAGTGGAAAAAATAAATTATGATTATGTACCACTATGCATATATAATTACAGTTTTACCTTGTTCATTTCACCCACGGTGATAATCACTTTTATTTGGACGAATGGTTTTGGAGAAAGAATATCAAAATTCAAGATCACGACATTTTTTGATTTGAAAACTCCCTAACTTATTATTCATATGATTTTAATCCTTCTTACTTTTCTGTTAATATGAATTTTATTTTACAATCTCATGTGTTCTCTACAAAAAGTCAGATCATGTGCACGGCTTCATATTTCGCATTCTCTCTTTGCCCATGAATGAAGTGTATTTAGAGATTCATACGCACCAATGCAAAGAGAACCGCCTTATTTCGTCGATAATTTCGATAATGTACAGGTTTTCAAGAAGATCAATCAAAATATTTTGATACACCATACTTAACAAATTAAATATAGAAACAAAAATACAAATGATTATAATAAATGCAATTTACTACCTTTGAACAAAGACTCTGTAAATTTGGTTACTTTTTCAGCATATTTGGTGTCTCCATTATCAAACCATTGTTTAACATCACCTAGTGACGTCATAGTGGCAGTTACGGCATCAAAGAGTCCAAGTTTTATATAATAACGACCTATAGACCAAACAACAAATTATAAGCATTAGTGTTTCTTATAATATATCAATATGTCGTTATTTATTCGTATGCAAATTTCTTTTAATAATCTTCGGCAAAGAAAATCTTTCTGACATAAAGCGTTGAATAGAATTTAATCTACCCTGACAATGATTAGTGGTTGATATGTTTTGACTGAAAGTATGCAGCAAGGGCAACTGATACATTCTTTCATTATTCATTAGTAAATTGGAAAGCGACCACGTAACTTTACTGCATCAGTGAGATTAAAATATTTAGTTAGTGAATAAACAGGAAAAACAATATAACCAATTTGTAATCCAAGGAAAATAAAGACAAGATGTGTGAAAAGTCAATCTTAGTTTTGGATAAAGTCTTGTTGTTTTTTTTTTATTAACATTGTAAATCCGATTGTCTTGAAAATCAAATGAATGGTCATGAAAACTTCTGCAAAGAACACATTACGAGTTGCAATCAACGTTTCACGACACATATTTTGGCGAAGGCTTCATCTTGCAACATTTGTTCAAAATACTGACAGCTCATAGCCGTTTGTCCAATTACTATATTTAATATCTCTTTGATTATAGATCGATTTAATTTTTGATATATCTGTTCAAATGTATTAAGATGTTTGTGACTGCAAAAAACTGACTGATATTTTCCTTTCATTCGGTTGTCAATCTTACAAATTGCAGTCATCCAAAAGATATGTGTAGTTATATTTCTTTCTTCCGTTCGCTCAGAGAAGAACTGATTGCTGGTGTTGTTAGAACTCGTGGTTCAACTCTTTTGCTACTTTTTTATTAATGTGAAGATAATATACTGTTAGAAATATGTGTAAAAAGAGCAATAAAGTATGCTTATATCAACTGCATTTTCACGACATTTTTGTCTTACATTAACATCTTACCGTCCGGATATTTGATTGGAGGTAACAAGTAGAATGACACCTCATTTTCCTTCATTTGTGATGATGGTATTTTCCAGTCAGCATTTGCACTTCCGTAGTAGATAACGCATGGCATATCACTTAAACAATTGTAAAAGTATATTTATATGCTTATTTATTTGTTCATATCCTTAAACAATATGCTACTATGATAAATCCCATCATTCCTTATACATGTATATATAATTTGGTCTGTATTCAATTGAAATTTACGGGATTCATCATTTATAATTTAGTATATACAAGATTTTCTTTAACTCGAAATAACTTGACCTTTACACATATTGACAGTCGAAAATATCCACTGGCTGATAACCATTTTGTTATAACTAATGAATGAATTGGTCACCACCGAAGTAGTTAATTAATAAGAAATAAGGGTCATTCTGTTTCTTGCTATTCCTTTAAAGGAACTCCACTGAGGTTTATAAGCCTACAAACATAAAATTTTAATTTTTCACATAGACATGAGCACTTAAAACAGAAATATAAATAAAATATAACCAAGCAATATACAAGAAATACATTGAAAATCATATGTTTGTGCTATTCTCAGTCCGATTTGAGTGAAAAGCGTTTAAACGCTTTTCAATTTTGGGTCATTTTTCACTATTATAATAATTATTCTGGAAAAACGAAGGGAGCTAATGATTTAAAATTTTGCACATACCTTATTAGTATAGATCTACATCAAATGGAGTAATTATCTCAAAAAATTATTTCCAGTCCCGTCATGTCAAAAAACCTCAGTGGAGTCCCTTTAACATACTTTATCTATTTAGTAATGTACAATATCTTACCTCAAAGTTTCTAGACTAGATTTGTCCACCTCTAGCAAAGACACAGATATGGGGGACAGTTTCTGCTCAGGTTTCATATAAGGCATAAGGTTTTTGAAAGTAGTAAAAGCTCCAGTGGCCAATAAAACTCTTTTGCAAAGAATAGTACGACCTTCCTCCGTTTTCACTTGCATTGCATACGTGCCATCTGATTGAACAATTCTTGTCACGTGATTGACGACGTCATCAATAATGGTGCATCCTTGTTCCGCCGCAATCACCTTTTGCGCTTGAACAATTCTTCTTGGATTGATATGTCCGGCATTTTGTGTTTCAAAACTACCTAAAGTGTTATTTGTAAATCGTAAGTAGGGAAATCTATGTTGAAGCGATTTGTTGTCAAAAAATTCCGTTGGAATAGCGTTTCTGGAAGCTACATCATCAGTTTTGCTTAAATAAGTTTTTCCGCCAACCATTAGATTGCCTACCTCATAGTAGAACTTTATACCTAAACGAAGAAATAAACTTATTATTAAAGTTTATCAAAGTTTATGTATTAAAACATGGTGTGACTTAGCTGTTAAGTCATTTTATCTAATCAAGATATAAACTGGAATAATTTAGAGAGTGGATGTAATGTATAAAACGTGCTCACGCATTTTTGTAAGGGGCCACGAGTGCAGCCCTCCAACAAAGTGTAAGGACTGGATAAATGTAGCTATAAACATTGCAAAACCCAATTCTAACTGATATTTGCACTGATACCTGCACCTAACAGTAAACTAGTACATAAATCATTATATATACCGGTAAGATCATCATAGTTTATTTTCTACTACATGTATATACAATGTACCGCAGTTAAATTATTGCATGTCACATATCACAACATGTGCACTTACCTTGAGATTTACGAGATCGATTTGGATTTTTACTATCGTTAGCTATTCTCATTTTTGAAATTATAAATTGGTGTTTCATTTGGTGTTTTTGTGTAAAATCTACGAGCTTTTTTACTAAATACATTGTATAATATTAGACAATTTTGTGCTAAAGTTCACTAACCAGATTGTCTCTCTATATCTCGGTATCTCTTGATAGATTCCTGCGCCAGAGTTGACCATACAAAGTCTTTATCTAGACATCTCGTTATTCGTCCCTCGTCAAAATAAGAACCATATATCGCAACGTTTTGCGCTGAGCGTTTTCCCTATAATGTGCATGACATATATTTAAAAATGGATTCTCAAATTATTTCGATTTGTCTTCATTAGAATGTACTCTGTTTGTGTCACATCCCATATTAATGCATCGATGCAAAATGTATGGTTTTAACTTTTAAAGATTTCAAATTCTGCCAGGGACCTTAAATTTTACTATTTCAAAAGCATATTAAGTAACTGTTCCGGTCAATTTGCTGAAAGAGGCGGTCAATTTACTGAAATCAGAACAATGGGTCTGGTCTGTTCATGTCCCGCTTGTGTCTACAATTATGCACGGAAAACACCAGTGATCTCCTACATAAAGTCACGTTTTACAAAGAATCATCCATGATTTGTTCTACAAAACGAACTGAAACTGTTGAGAGTAACCTGTACCAGTAACTCTTGTTGCAAGTTTTTAATCTGTCATATCTAATAAACTACAGTAACTACATACGTTAACTTACTTTTGGTTCCGACGGTCCAATTAGGCACGTACTAAGACCGGAAGTGACCGTTGCATGCCTTGCAGCAGACGAACCTATCATACCAGCTCCAACTACACATAAGTCGTACATAGTTAATCTTGATCGTGAATTTTAAATTTTGTCACGAGCTCTTATAACTGCATCAATCCAGATTGAACAGTGAAGGTGTATTAATTGATAAACGCCGTCAGTGGGATATACTATTTACTTTAGATAATGATATTATTTAATTTATTTTTAACTGTTCGTTTATTGAAAAAGATTTAATATTTTTATACGTCCATTGTGAAACCGAAGGGAAAGTCCATAGTTTTAAATTTTTGAATAAATAGTAACACTGTCGAACTATCAATTCTGTTTGCAATTTTATGATCACTGCTGTTTTAGTAAACAATTTTTAATCACTTAAAAGATAAAATGTGTTTAAAAAAGTCACCATCCATACGCGATCTACTTTATGTCGGTGTCTTGATTGTCCTACTCATGTATACAATGAATTAATGTAATGTTATGTAATGTAACTACATAATATGGAACGCCGTGACTGTCTTATGTGATCAATGTTTTTGCTATCTTGTAAAATGATGATACTTTTTTGTCGTTTAAGCATTTAACATGTGCAATTTACATCATATCTTGTCAAAATACCATGCTGACTTGTTCAAAAACAGCATGTTAACTTGTCAAATAATCATGATGACATGTGCAGACAACATGTTAATTTGTCGAAGTATCATGATGACTTGTGCAAACGACATGTTAACTTGTCAAAATTTCATGATGACATGTGCAAACAACATGTTAACTTGTCAAATTATCGTGATGACATGCTCATGATACTTTGAGAAGTTAACATGTGTTTTGCACAAGTCATCACGTTACTTTGACAAGTTAACATGCTGTCTGCACAAGTCATCATGAAATTTTGACAAGTTAACATGTCGTTTGCACAAGTCATCACGATACTTTGACAAGTTAACATGTTGTCTGCACATGTCATCACGATAATTCGACAAGTTAACATTCTGTTTGCACACGTCATCACGATTATTCGACAAGTTAACATGCTGTTGCACAAGTCATCACAATACTTCGACAAGTAAACATGTTGTCCGCACAAGTCATCATGATCCTTTGACAAGTTAACATGTTGTTTGCACAAGTCATAACGATAATTCGACAAGTTAACATGCTGTTTGCACATGTCATCATGAAATTTTGACAAGTTAACATGTCATTTGCACAAGTCATCACGATACTTTGACAAGTGAACATGCTGTCTGTACATGTCATCATGATAATTTGACATGTTTGCATGGTGTTTGCACAAGTTATCATTATACTTTGACAAGTTAATAGTGCATTTTGACATGCCAGCATGATACAAGATAAAATTTCGTTTGCACACGTTATCACGATACTTTGACAAGTTAACATGGTGTTTGCACAAGTCATCATGATACTTTGACAAGTTAACATATTATTTGCACGAGTCATCAAGATACTTTGACAAGTTATCATGCTTGTGCACATGTCATCACGATATTTCGACAAGTTAACATGCCGTTTGCACATGTCATCATGAAATTTTGACAAGTTAACATGTCTTTTGCACATGTCATTACAATACTTTGACAAGTCAACTAGTCGTTTGCACAAATCATCATTATATTTTGACAAGTTAACATGTCATTTGCACAGGTCATTATACATTTTGACAAGTTAATATGTTATTAGCACAAGTCAGCATGATTCCTTGACAAGACATGACGTGAATTGCATATGTTAACATGCTCAAATGACAAAATAATATCATCGTTTCACAAGATAGCAAAAACATTGATCACATAAGACAGTCACGGCGTTCCATAAAAAATCGTTCAGGGTACAGTGATAAAGTGTGAATAGTAGTTTGACATTATTGACATAATTTATTACCTATCATCGAAACCAAAACACTTGACCGAATTTGACTAGGATATTAGGAATATAAAAACATGAACATGATTTCTCCTATTTAAGAAAGAAAGCATCACAAAAATAAGGCACATTTCTCTCTAATTTATTGTTTCGTTTTTTTGTTTATAAAAGGTTTAGGATATAGAAATATACGGGTTGACTTTTATCTCTTGGGATAGTCCGATATATACGAAAATCATATCTTGGACATAGTGTATATAGTCAAACAATTTGCAACGCAGTACCTACAGCTTTGACGAATTCTCAAAATTGTGAAACAAATCTTGAAGGACCTTAAGAACTTAATATGAAACTAGATAGTGTTTATATAATTTGAATTTTTATAAACAGAATTATTGTTTAACAGTCTGATAAATGGAAAATTCACTTTTTATTTTCAAATGTTTGAAATAGGCATTTATTAAAAAAGAATAAAATTTGAAAAATGTTTTTTTTCCCCTTTTATTTTCCAAGAATTATTATTGCCGAACCTTTTGGGGTATTTTGTCGCCCATTTTTTACATTGGTTTTTAAAAAACCCTCCATTTAAGCTAAGAGCAGGCGTGTACGGGAAAAAATGGTAAATTTCTTTAAGGAAGGGGAAAACTAAAATACAATATCCCCATTTGCGTGTAAATGAGTTGGGAGAAAAACATGGAGGAAACATGTACATCATTGATATTGGTATTTAGTAGCGGTAGAAAAAAAGCATGACTGTCGACTGTAAATAAATGCATGAACAGTTTTAGAGTTTTGGGAGTGACTCATTTTTTTTCACAAAAGGTAACATTAAGGGAAATCAATATCCACGTATCAAATGGCTATTCGCAATTTTTCTCCCTTTCAAACTTATTCTCAAAAGTCTAGCGTAAGGAAAATATTAACACAGTTTAAGAAATGTATTTATTACTATAAATGATTTGAGTTACCTTGTCCCCTGACAGGTCTTCACCTGTGCGCACTAAAATAATATGATTGAATATGGGTTACCCAAAACAAAGATGGATTTCGACAAAAGTTATGGAAACTGCTTGTACTATCAATAGATATGCATTGGAAAAACATCTGAAGTCAAGACTTATGGCATTTTGTTTGTAAAATTTGATGTTACAAGCTGTATTTGATGCAAATATGTATGTTTGTTAGATTTCAACTATACTTAATATGTAACGTTATTGTATTAACATGATGATATGCATAGGGGAAAACATTGGTTAAGTTCTTACTCTCCACATGAAGGAAGTTACAGACGTAATGACCTTTTGGATATTTTTTTGTCTGCAACATTGTTTCTAGGAAACGGACTGGCATGCGTTGTCACAAAAATGACAGATCCAGTAATATATAGTTTTTTATGGAGGGATTTTATTGGAAATTTGTTACTATAAAGATATGTTGTAACTGTTTAGATCATTTGAATATTTCCCTTTTAAACGCACTATGAGCAGATATTTAAACGCGAGTTCATGAACGTGTGGTATTTTGGAAATAGCAGAGGTTCTTATGAGGTCAAAAGTAGCATTTTGCATGTCGATAGCCATTTAATTTTGAAACCTTGAAAATTTTAATTGATACTTATAACTCAATTAATATAATTTAGTGAAAACGTCATAGAACTCTTGAGGCGCTTGTGAGGAGAAAGAGGGCTTAATGACCAATGGATTTAGTACTGGAAGTCAACTGGGTTCAAGTAAACATTTTTGAAAAGAAGCCTACGAGAAGTTATTTACTTGCTTCAGAAAACTTGTAAATGAGGAAGAATTTTAATATAGAGTCTATAACCAAACAATTGATACTTAATAACTTACAATGTACTTATAATAAACTGCATCTGCCAAAAGATATTGAAAAGTCATGACTGTAAAACATAACGGAACTGGTCATTAAAAAAGCTAGAATGTGCCTTTTTTTCGAAAAGAATATCCAATGGTACCTAGAAAATGTTTATCTCACCAAAACATTATTTATTTTATTCTTTAGAATATCACAATTGTCCACAAAAAAATCTACTGGGCATTTCAGTCATACCAGAGAGTTGGAAGAACTTTGCCAACATTAAAAGAAGATAATATTATTTGACTGATATTGTAAATAAAACCTTTATAACCATTTATTACCCCCTTGCGTGTAGCATGTACCAATATACGTTGTCTTGATAATTTGTATATTTCCTTCGTTTGTAAAACAAACACTTTTGTACAAAACATTCACCACACAGATGTACAGATGAAGTCATATACACGTGTCCTATATTTGTTATCATACTCTTGTCATTAGCTGATCTTTTTCATTTGTTTTTGCTTGCAGTTAGAGCTTTCCTTTTAGAGTTGTGACCTTATATCCGCTCAGGTATGTTGGTAAGAGTTTGACTTTAAATATATCTCTTGGTATTGTTGAATCCCATTGGCTTGTCATCATGCTGACGCCCAATCGACCAATCTCGTCGCTCGATTTCGCTGCAAAACCATTCCCACCGATAGCTACGCCCAACTGATCATGAATCATGTCTATATAAGGATGTGTATAGTGGGCGTTTCTGTTATAACACAGCTGTCAGTTTGCCAGGATTTAAAATCAACACCTAAATGATGCATAGGAAAAGAAAGAAAATATGAATTGTCATAAAGACTCATTTAGAAGTAAAAAAGAGAGAAAAGAAATCCTTTTACCTTATAATACTCATATTTTGCATACTTACGAAAAGTGCAATTCACATTAAATAATCGAATGTGAAACAATATAAATCTTTGGACGACGAAAACAATGTGTGCAACCAAAATATGCCTTACTTGACTTGAGGAGTATATTAAAACTTTATTATATATAAATAATGAATACAATTTCAATCTCGAATTACCGTCGAACAATGATTTCGTAAAATTAGTCACATGCTTAGCCGTAACATTATTGCCCTCTTTGAACCATTTTATCACATCAAAAGGGGTTGTAATTGATTCAGAACTTGTAGCATCTCTATGACCCAGTTTGATATAATACTTTCCTGCAATGAAATAAAATTATAATGTTTATATGCTCTTACATGCCTCCTTCCTATATAAAAAATGAAATAGTGACTAAAACGAGTAAGAAACACAGGCACAGTGCTCTATAACAAGTTAGAGCAAGTATAAGGAGAGGATTAAGGAAACTACGTTGTATGTTTTTGTTGCATTACTGTGCAGTTTAATCAGTTCCATTTGTACCTGATGATTGTTAAAAGCATGAAATTGTACAGTAGTTAGTACCTTAATTGTTTATTTAAAGAATTGGTTGGTTTGGATTACCCTTTGTAACATGCTATGAATAATAAGCATTTTAGTTCTATATTTTACTCGATATGTAACGATCTAAGTTTAATTTTTTACTGTGTTATTCACACTCACAATGACGTAAACTTGAAAAAAAGATTGTTGTGAGTCCACTTCCTACTGATACTGTCGTATGAAAAAGCATGATCATGACTCTAACCCATAAGTTTGGACTGAGAGGCATACACCCTTAGTGCAAGACACCCAGTTCCTCCTATTACACTGATGAGTATAT